TATCATTGTATTAAGAGATAGTATATATGATGTTATATAATACCAATCGATACAGTATAAGTTCTTAAGCGGGTCAGTCAAATAGTATTATGCTTCACGACTGATTGTATCGTATAAGGTAAACTCTAACAACTGAATATAATAAGGTAGACCGCTAAGTAAAGCGAGTCTCACTATATTGCTCAGTCTTGTGTTAGTACAATCAAGGCGCTAGACAGGAGGAGTTAGGTAGGTCAAGCGTAATTCAATATAGCATGGAGGCGAATATTACAACTGGATCTGGCTCTCTTATATAGATGTTGTAGCTGGCTGGTGGCAAACCTTTCTCCAAGGGCGTCCTAAGGGCGTCCTTGGGTCTATGTCATTTTGGGCCGGAAATAGCTCAAAAAGACATAAAGATAACCAGTGACAGAAATGTGGAGGCATTTTAGGTAAAAGTGACAAAAGGTGCGGAGTAGGCGCGAATATAGGCGCATGTCACTTGCTACTTAAAATAGCATTACTCGACATAGGATAGATGACAATTATAGAGGTTACCAGCTCACAGCTCACTAGATAATAACAAAGGCTGACTAGACTAAGAGGCGAACGAGGAACTGTTACAGCAAGGAGAGGCCGTTTACATAGTAAATAAGATAGGGAATAACTATACTAGATAAATGAGGCAATATAGGAGAAATACTAAGGCTATTACACTGACCAGTGTGGTGAGCAAATTCTGGACGGGATCTGATCGCAGGGCAATTTTGAGAAGTGGTACCGTCCAGCCGGTGACACCTAAAGCGGTATCGTGTTTGAAGATATGGAAAGCGTTGGGGGTTAGGGGTTAGGTTCCATCGCCAGGGTGATGCTCTTCTGCTGAGTCCTGTAATAGCCTTAGTATTTCGTTATAGTTTGATTATCTTGTATTGTACAATTTCTAGACTTGTCTTTAACTAGTTATTCGAAATTTGCCACCATGTTGTACTTATAGCTGGCCTAAATCTCTTCTATGTATAATACTCTGTTTGTGCTCTTACGATATCTTAGTAACAATATTGAGCCAATCAGAGAATAGCCTTGAGTGACAGAAGAAACCTTGTCATTGACATAGAAACCTATGTCACTGACATAGAAACCTATGTCACGGATGCAAATTTACCTAAGGCGTCCCTTGGGCGCCCTTGGGCAGAATAGCATTCGCCACCCATTTCGTACGTCTATATAAGAGAGCCAGATCAGTTGTAAATTCCCCTTTATGATTTATAAAACACGCTTGACTACCCAAACTCCTCGTCCAGCGCCTTGATAGTGTTGACTAATAAACTAAGTAATTATACAGACTCGCTTTGCTTAAGTGGTCTTGCCAATTACATTTAGTTGTCATTTGTTTACTAGCTACAATACATTTTAGTCGTGAAGCATAATTGCTCTTGACCGATCCCATTAAGGACCATTACTAAAGTATTTAGCTTTAATATATCATAATATTCATAGCTACATACTACAACGTACTCAGGTCTCTTACAAGTCCTCAGACCACTCTGACTCGAACACGCAATCATGTCGCTTGCCCGTGGTCGTCGACCAGAGAAGCTCCGCGTTGCTTTCTTCGTCGCTGTTAGCTCTGGCGATAGAGCCATGCTTGGTTGACTCGGCAGCGAAAAGACTTAGGCGATCGTAGGAAGCAGCTTTGCGGGAAAGTCATCATATTACAAATTTATGAAATGAGTCAGACAGGGACTCAGTCGCGGACGCAGTCAGGTGGCACGACAAGCCGAACCGAGGCGCACTTCCTTGTGCGGGACCAGCCTGTTCCGCAGCTAACTTTTGGCTGAGGGTCTAGCAGCGTCGCAAAGGGAAGGTATAGCGAACTGTGAACTGAGGGTATAGCGGTTCGAATATCGTTTTCAAGTGTGTTTCACATACGTTTTCGTGAATATCTCAAGGAGTAAAACAGCTTTAATTACAAAAGTCGGCGGTGCAAGACGGATGCGAATGGTACAACAGTTCTAACCATTTTCTTTCCTTTGTTGTATGTTGGGAGAGTCGGTCTCGGTGCAGCAAAGGGAAGGATCCCAACGAAACACAAAGGCCCGAACGGTTATACGCATCGATGGCCAAGGACGGAGTGAGCTGGGCTCTCGGAGAAAAATTTGTGATTCCGTATAACTGACCTTCAAGGGAATCGCCTGCACGCGCGGCAAAGATAGGAACAGGGTCAGGTATGGCTTTCTGTGGTTTTACTTGGGTTTTCCTAGAGACCGCTGTAATTAGGTACCTTCATATGCCGTATCAATCCTCGGAAACATTATACACACTCAATGTGTGTCTTCACTTCACCAAGCGCAACCTTGCGGAATTGAGGAGTTTTACTATCCCGTCAAGGGCGAACTCTCATTTCAGCGCAGTACATCCCCGGCGAACCCCATCCCCGGCGCCGCCTACGACCCTCGTAATGCATACAAGCGTGGCTCGCGGTCGATAGCGGAACTCTACCTGTATGGACACTACCACACAGTATTATTGATATCATTCTTTATAAGGCTTAGCACCCTAATGGCGCCACTTGCTCCACCATCACCCTTGAGGACCTAGTACGAAGTGAATGTGCTCGACGTCATAACGAAACTCGTTCAGCCGTTGCGGCGGCGCATCACGCAGGCCACCATGAGAAATGTGGTCGACGATCCGCAGTAGCTCGGAGGCGTCGTTCCCGCGCTGCGTAGGGCGCCGCTGCCGTAGAGTGTGACTCGTCCCTAGGTTACGCGGGTCTTGTGGTTCGTTGGTGATCACAATAACCAATGCTTCGCAGCCAGGAGCATCCTTCGAAACCCTCTCTGGCCAGCCGAGCTCCAGGCGAAAGTAACGTGCAGTCGAAATCCACGCTACCGAGGCGATATGCCACCAGGAATTTCGATGCTCAGCAGCCGACTATGGGATAGCAGGGTTACGTTTCATGTGATTTCGATGTCAAACATAATCACAAACACTGTGCTTGAGCCGAGGTTGAGCAGCGAGACGGAATTGCTCTGTCCGGTGAAACGTGTGGTGTCCCTGTCAGGAAGCGGAGCTGAATGGCCGTCCTCTACTTGTCCCCATCCGATATCTAAGGGGAATCAAGTGCAGATTCGCCGGTGCCTCTCTCCAGCCTGAGAAGGTGTTGTGCACGTGCTATGATCTCTAGACGTTCCGCTATCTCCTCCTGCTTGCGAGGGGGCAAGGCGCTGAGCCCTAGCTCCCAGTCCAACACCCGGACCCCCTGAGAGTCGAGCAGCGTGACGTCGTTGCCGTCTTTCCTGATTGTCATCAAATGCGGGTCTTCCTCGGCAGTGCCAAAGGTTCTAAAGATTCGGCAACGGCTGGGTCGTTGCTGAAGGCAATCGGCGAAGGTGGGCTTGCTACCGATGCGAACAGCCAAATGTAATAACTCTTTTCTCAGTGAAAAAGCTTGTGCCCCTCCCACTGACAGGTGACCATGCTGTTTACCATACTCAAGGGTAACATAAGCAGCAGCATTGCCTACCTTGACAACATTCGCGACTCCAACTTGTCACTCGGGGTTAATTACCTCCTCGCCGAAGGGCATCAAGGCGTAGACGTCGTCCTCTTCTACCCCAGCAATACTGCCACCGTCGAGGAAACCTTTATCGCTCCTCAGGCAGCCCTTGTGCACGCGGTGGAGGTCAGCTTCGGACAGGCTGAAGAGAGTCCGCGAGGCGGGGCCTTCCACGTACGAATGCTCGCGGGAGGGAATCATTGCCGCCCTATTCTGGACGCGGCGGAAGATGCTCATCCACGAGACCGAGCGGTCGCCAACGGCCGACAACCATAGCCAACGCCTCGGTAGGCATCCCGATGCTGTTGTTTCGCGAGTTGTCATATTTCCCGACAAGCGGATCGGAGCTTTGATCAGGAACTGGTGCTCTGGTGCTCTGGTGTTCTATGTTTCTGGTATCCTGATGTTCGAGGCTCTGCAGGTACTGGGATGATACCGGACAGTATCCAGCCATTGCATGGAGGATTCGGTTCCTGCGTATACAGGTACTTGATGGATGCTGGTTCAGTGGCCCCCCTTCGACGCTGTCCTCATGCTCATCAATCGACTGTTCCAAGCAATTATGTACTCGGGAATACGGTCAAGGTCTTCTCTTACCCTGCCCAAACGGCTTGCTCGATCACCATTCCCGCAGGTCAGCCCCGCTTGGGCCCCACAACACTGTTAAGTGCCTAAGCTATTATCCCTAAGGAAACTTCAACTTGATCTAAGATCCAAGCTGTGAAGTCTTTACCTGAGTATTTATGTAATAGCGGCTACCTAACGGTTCCCAGTGCCTCGGAGCTACGCAGTAGTTATGTAATACTCACCTGTCTTAGCAACTGCTTGTCAATAGAACTCAGTGTCTTGATGACGTAAGGTCGCGACTCCTTATTACTGAAGTTATAGTATTGATTAATTAACCTATATTGCCCCCCTCCTTCTCCTATCTGAATTACAAGACAGTGGCAAACGAGCATAGCTCTTATATACTTATTGGGTTATCTAGGAGACACTAAGTAAACTATTCAGGCTCTAAGGTGGTGTTACAACAGCAGTGGTGTCATAGCAGCGGTGGTGTTACAGCAGCATTGGTGTTATAGTAGCGGTGGTGTTATAGCAGCGGTGGTGTTATAGCAGCAGTGGTGTTATAGCATCCGTGTTGTTATTGCATCGCATAACAGATCTTGATTACACATCATACCGGGTTACAGGCGGTCACGAGTTGTACATGAGAATATCATTACAAACACGTGCAACGCGACGTATGGAACACCTCGACATCACTACTGATCGCTCCCTCCGACTGATGGTTCATCGGAACGCTCATCAAACCACCCATCTATAACTCATTAGTAACCACTCATCAAATCTTTCATTCAGCAACACGTCCAACCCGCAACCGCCTCAAATAAAATGGCAAATTGCGATGTCCCCTCTGACTCCCAGTAGATGCCAAAAAGAACAAAAGAGAAAAAAAAAGTGGAGCCATCAGGAGTCGAACCCGAGACCTCAACCAAGCCAAGCTGTGAAAGCCAATGCTAAGATTGCGCGCTACCAACTGCGCCATAGCCCCTTTGTGATGTCTGGATTAAATTTTTCTCTATATCAGGCAGAATACGAGCACGGTCTCGCGACAACTTTTCGGGATGATGATGAGTACTATGCGGCTCGTTCCAGTTATTAACGACTTTTGTGCCAATACTCGAAGTATATGGTTTGTACTGAAAGGGAAAGCTGCCTATCGAGGATCGCCAAAGTCGCTTCGCCTGTACCGAGCTTGTGGCCATTTGTATTTGACATTCGAAGCCGAGGACAGGTACAAGACCGTCATCGTGGTAATCGCGGGGGACAGGCAAGTCGCTTCATTCCTTCGTCGAGTGTCGTTTATCAACGATGATGTACTTGTTCTAGGTCGTCTGTTCTGGGTACTTGTCGATCATGATTTCACCGCCACCAATTTCTTCGAGATCGTGAACACTGACACTATAGCGGTCGAGTCATTTTGATGGCGTTTAAACGACTTTACAAGCAGACTGCCGATTTACCGAATGCACCGGATGCGATTTCGATGGGTTTCAAGTTGGAGACCAATCCGACGTATCGTTTCTGATCAGGTAAGCCGGTTGGTGGGCGTTGGAAGAGCCGCGCTGAGTGCCAATTAATCCTTGTTATGTGGGTGTTTAGTCGGACCATTGTTTGTCCGGACTGGGCGAGTTGTGGTCTTTACATGTGACGTTATGGTGAGTATCTGGATACTCGGTGATCCCGCCCCGATGCTTTTCGCGCGTCGAAACCGTGGAATACAAGTACGAGCAAGAAACCGCTCGGCAGCGCGAACTCAAGCAAACGATCGTTCGACTGGAAGCGGATTGCTAGCAGCAAAAGAGAACTTTGAACACATTAATTGCTGCCGGTGATAATTGGATGGCACAACAGATGGCGAGTCCTTTGTGCCACTTCTACAAGAGCTATTCTGCCGGCAGTACATTTTATAGAAATTCAAGCGGTTATTGACGATCTTAATGAGCAGATCTGGATCGATGCGACCTGACGCGAACTTCAATTGGCAGTCGTAAGGGTGACAAACTCGAACGGATGTGGCCATCGGATACACCACCAACTTGCTAACTCGAGACACGAAGTTGGTTATCATTCGGGAAGGTGTCAAATCCGGGTGTAATCAGTTGAAGAACATTCTTGCAGGATTTCTCAACGAGGAAGTCATTTCCGAAGAGGAAGCTAGAATATCGCATGACCCCGTGATGGATGAACCTGCCAGTGTGGAACGGCTGTGACAGATGAATACCGGTGTCACTTCGCCGGTCAGCAAGAACAATGGCCTCCGAACCCGCGAGTTCTCCCTTCTTGATGGGGCCTGCTGCGTTGAAACATGTAAGTCTATATTTCCTTTATCCTTGTGTTAAAGCTGTCAGCTGATTGGATGATTCCTCTAGGCAATTCCGGAAGAAGTCACCGAGGGATTGCTCCCTCATCTCTTCACCCGATACGCTACGGCCGTTGTTATTGAATGTCGCCTGTGCAGGAGAAGCAACTTCTTCGGTGCGTCAAGGACAATCTTAGTGTCGTGACTCCTGCCTTCGCAGATGACGCCGACGATGTCAGCATGATCCAAGCCGCTGCTGTCGGCATCAGTATCTCCGGTAAAAAGATCTTCAGGCTGTCAATTCGTCTCATTACGCGATCGCACAATTCCGTTTCCCGAACCGACTAGTTCTCGTCCATGGCCATTGGTCTTACCCTCGAAGTTCTTCTCAACTTCCTTTACAAGAACGTGATCGGCCTCTATGTCCTCTGTGTTCTGGACCTTGCTTCCTGTCATCGCTATGAGCCTCTTCGTATTGACCTGCGTCGCAAGATTCAGAGAGTTGCTGATACTGACGCGCATTGCAACGTCATGTCAGCGACTAGAACGCTCAGGATTCCGGATTGAGACTTACAAGTAATGTGAACCATCGGCTGGCAAGAATGACCAAGAAGTACTTGATCAGCCGCCGCGATTGCCCGCCCAAACAACGAATCCAAGAGCTGTCGCTCGCGCGCAGTGTAGCGCCGGCAACGTACATGACCATCCCCAGGCATTGCCTGTGAAACACAGAAAGCTCCCTTCACGATGAGTAAGATCGCCGCCGTAACGGGCTTTGACGTTCTCTATGGCAAGGAAGATAACGTAGCCGATCAGCAAGGGGGCGCTGCACATCATGATGATTTCTCTTCGCTTGATCTTCATGAACACGTAGGGGAAAATTATTCACGCGAGATTTCTAGTCAGCGATATAGGTACTACCGAGATAGGAAAAATTACTGACTAAGACAGCAAACACAGCTCCTACGATGTAGGGCGGTACCGTAAACAACTGTTGATGGATTGTCAATTTTTTTGGGATTGATCGTTCTGACAATTGTAGGGGTGAAGAATGTGACGCCTCCTTGCATGGTGATGTTATTCAATAAAAAGATGAGACCGATTACCAATGTGGTCGGAAGGGGGGGGCCAAAACACCCTGCTTGATGGCTCGCTTGCTCATTTTGCCAACACGACAGTCAGTCCAACATGTTCAAACTTGATTCTGCTGACAGCCACATCCCGTCGCGTCTGGGGGTATTTTCTGTCGCCTTTTGCCTTTCGTCAGTTCATACACGGCGCCGCTTTGGCTGTGCGATTCTTGTTGGATGTCACACGCCGAGGCGGGGGTAAGTTTCTGTGGATCCTTTGCGCCATTTTAGGAGAAATGATTGACCTTTGAAACGATTAGGTATGCTCCCGACCCGGTATCGCGTGTTACTTGCGTCGTCGGTATAAGAAAGACGAACTGGGATTTAGATTGTCTCTTTATATCGTCTGTGCGTCGCTTGCCGGTGCCTTCGGAGGGTAAGCAATTCAAACAGAACCTTTGGCATCAGCCTTCAGCTTGTTGATGCTGCTGCGTGTCCCACATTGTTTTAGTCTCCTTGCTTCCGGGATCTTGAATTCGAGTGGCATTGGCAGCGCAAATGTTCTTGATCGAGCGAGGCATCATCACCACGTTGATCGGTCTCGCGCTCTATCTCTTGATGAGCGAGGACGTCGAAGACTGAATCTGGAACATGAGCCCGTATACTTGATGGGACGGGCGACTGACTAGATAACCCGGGCTTACGTAAGCGACTGCTGGGGCGATCGGGCGTGCTATGGGACAAGGTCAAGATGGTGATTCAGATAAACATCCTTCCCAGCCTCGAGACCGCCGTCGTACACCCGCAACCATGCCCAGCCAGCGGGCCAGTCAGAAGGCAACTCCGCGCCGCATCGTTTCCCCGCAGGAAGAGGTCGACGAGCTGGCGGACGACAGTTCCAGCTCGGAAGAGTCCGGGTCCGACGAGGGGGAGGAATGGGAGGCTCGCGCCATTCTTGACGAACGAACCGTCCGAGATCCCTCTGCCAATCGCTCCCGTCGAGCCGGATCATCATCTTCCCGTGCCAAGTCATCTTCCGCGCCTCGCACCATCACTCAATACCTGATCGACTGGGAGGGATTCGACCCGGCTACAGGGAAACGGTGGAAGCCGACGTGGGAGAATGCGGAAGGCGCTACGCAAGGACTCGTGGATGATTGGAAGAAGAGAAAGGCCGAGGACCCGGATCTTTTCGGAAGGTATAGTCGAAATTTGGAGGAGCAGAAATGGCGGGTAGTTTCACCCGAAAAGCCCAAGACAAAGAGCGCAAGCAAGCAAGGGAGCTCATCAAAAAGTAAGTCCTTGAACATGGCCGGCGGGGTGGCGTCTGACAGCCACCGTTCTGTGCCCGCTCAAGAGCCGACACCACGTTCGACGCAAGGGAAACGTCAAAAATCCGTCACTAGTGTTCCTCCCGCCGGCTCACAAACCGCTACAGGCGGGAAGCGCAAACGCAGTCCACACAAACGAACGTCACCACCACCACCATTATCATCATCCGTCTCGCCACCATCACAGTGGGGAAGCGCATACGGACGCGCGAAAAGGCAGAAGATAAATGTACCGATCAAACCTGCGACACAATTCACACATACCTCAAAAGGCGATTCGCCGAGGCCTCCTGAGAGTCCCAGTGTGGTGGACGACTCACAGCCTCTTCTCCCCCTAACATCCTCCGACGAAAGGTCGGCGGTCCTGAACTCCGCCTCGACCCCGCTTCCCGTTATCACCACGCAACCCGTCTCCTCCCGTAGGCAATCAAAGTCCAAGGTGCCCGCATCACCCCTCAGCCCACCTCCTACGGCAGCGCCCAACGATACCTCTACACACTCAGCGAACCCTCCTCCACCACCAGTCGTACAAGACCCTCGGGCATCTCGTAATCACCGCCCACAGCCCACAGACGCCGGCTCCTCGGCCGAGTCCGAGCCCGAAGCAAGCCTTGATGTCTCTGCATCACAAGCCGAGGCGCTGCGCCGGGCAATTGATTTGCTCATGGATGAAGAAGAGTTCCTGGAGGAGAGAGAAAGACAGAGCTCTGTCGTCGTAGGTGCGTCGCATGAGCAGGCGCCGGCGCCGGCGCAGGTGCAGGCGCAGGCAGGTCAAATGCCCACGGCGGAGAAGTCGGCAGCGGCAGCGGGGGCGGGGGCGGCCGTGGAGGAGAAAAGTGGAGAACCATCTATCCATACAGGGAAATCAACCATTCAACTCCTCCACCCAGTACCCCAAATTACACCTACCGCCTTTCACGAACTCGGTATGCACACGTCCGCCGTCGGCGATTCATTCACTACCTCCAACACACAGCCGCCTGAGGAATCGATCCTTGATTTCGATGATAGCGCCACACAGGGTGTTCACCCATCGGCCACCATCTTACAGCCGGACGTGAGCGGCACGGAGATCCTACAGACCGAGGAGATGCGGGTGGAAGCGGCGGACAGGGTAACGCCGTCTGGTACCCGTGAGCTGGATGGCGAGATGGCGGCGGTAGATATGGAAGACAGCGCAGAGTCGCTTGTGCCGGTGTTGGGTGAAGATAATTGGTCTCGGGTAAGTCTCGGACTCGTCGCGTACCATCAATTCACTTGTGGTTGATTACAATCGTTATACGTATCC